GGTCTTGGGAATTTTTTTTCACAAAAGAGAAAAAACTAGAAAATGCATGTACATTCATGCAATTTGAAAAAGAAATAAAAACAAAGTTTCATTTAAGTTCATGTTCACCAAAATTAGCAGTTTAAAATGTCCTTTTTAAACTATTTTCTAGAGCAATCAGGGCCATCTTCCCCTTGCTGAAAAGATTTTCTTTTTGACTTACAATACAAAAACAACGAAAACAGGTAGATTAGGACAATAAACCAAATGATTTAAGAGGATTAAAAGATTAACACTGGGCACAGTGGGGCTCTCTGTGCTGCACAGCCAAGGTCATGCAGAGCTGGCTACATTCCTGCAAGATAGAGACTCTTTCAGAAAATGCTCTTTATCAGGGAGAGTGTAGCTTGCCCCTGACCTTGGGGGCCCGTGAGGTAAATAGTTAATGAATGCCTCTATAAGAAACACAATAGCATATTACATCTTTCTTACTCAGAAATTATGGGGCTCTTTCAGTTAGAAGAAGAGAGAATCCTAGTGTTACCCTAAGTATCAAAGTCTGTAACACCACTTAGAAAATAGAAACCAATTCCATCAGCTACTATCATAATGCTCTGCATTGATGGGTCTTAAGGCCTCAGTTTTTGCACTACACAGGCTTCTTTATGTGGCAGAAAGAGTTCAAGTTTCATCTTTTATCCTGGTACCACTTCACCATGATTAGCTTAGGACTAGATGTAGGCTGGGCTGTAAAAAACTTTCTTTATAACATCAAGCAGTAGATATAATAAAAAAGCATTCCATCCTTTGCAGGCTGTTTCAACTACTGGTGAGAACTGAAGCACAGTTGATATATAGTTTTATAATCACATAAATGATATTATTCCAAGTTGACCGGAAAATGATTAGGCTTCTTGCTGCATATGAATGTGGCATACAAAAAATGTGGTGAGATGATTATAAAATTAAGACAAGACACGATGGAGGTCAGTAAACAGAAATAGGTGCTCAATTTCATTAGCAATTAGAAAAATTAAAATGACAATGACACACTGAGCTAAAACCTCTCTATATAAAAGGCTAATATGCTAAGTGTTCCTTTGACCAGTCGCTATGACACACACTGATCACCAGGGGGCAGATGCTCAATTCACGAGCTGCTGTGACGTGCACTGACCATTTACAAAGAAATGGCACTGCGGACCTGGTGCCAACAAAGCAATACTCGGCTTCCCTCAAGAGGGACACAGGCCCTACCACCACCCTGGAGCGATACCCCACCAAATATCAGCCAATGCTGCTCAGACCCCATGGCACAAAATGCGGCCCACAGCCCAGCCCAGCCTGGAAATGGTCGCTGTGAGCACCAGGTAATGATGTCACATAACAACACCCAGCTTCCTATCCCTAGTGACAACTATCCTCCTTGCAGTTTCTTCAGCCCAGGAACATGACTTGCTTTATAGCCAGGTGGAAACATTTTATACTTTAACCAAATGTCTGTGAAGCATTTTCCTGTGCCTCATCTCATTTGATCCTCACAGAAGTCCTGGAGTAGGTAGATAGGGGACTCGGTAGCATCCTATTTTCTTTTCATTAGCCAGAAAATGGAGATTTAGAAAGTTTAGAAACTTGACCTGACTGAAAAGAAGTAAGAAATGGTGGACTTTGAAAATGACTTCAGGTTTTCTCACTGTGCAGAATATAGTCAAATGCTGCTGGAGTTAAATATTTTACCCTTTGTTCTCCCTGTGTGATCTACAATAATAATCTGCTTCATGTTGATATTTACTGCTGTGTTGCTGACAATTACCTGAAAGAGAAGTTGGGGTGCTTCACTGGGCTGGAAAAAGTTTAGCTACATCAGAAAGCAGGTATAATTAAGAAAGTTTATTCTATATACTAGAGGCCCAATGCATGAAATTCGTGTTTGGGTATGGTCCCTAGGCCTGGCCTGCAATCAGGGCCATCTTCCCCTGCTGCCGACAGCTGACCCTGCCACTTACCGCTATCCACCCCCAGTTCCCTGTTCACCATCAGGCAATCAGGGCCTGCTGGCCAGGGGGAGGGACCAAGAGGTCGGCTCTTCATGCCCACTCGCCAGCCCCACCCCTGCCGCGGGTCACCCTCTGTGTGTGGGGCAACCAATGGGGCGGGGGCCTTGGCCTGGTGCCACCACCCACCCCTGGTTCCCTGTTCTCCATCAGGTGATGGAAGCCTGCTGGCTGGGGAAAGAGACGGAGAGGTGGTCAGTGTGCCTCATAGTGATTGGTCGAGTGGTCATTCTGGTTGTTCTGCCATTAGGGTCAATTTGCATGTTACCCTTTTATTATATATAATTTTATTATATATTATATATAATAAAAGGGTAATCTGCTAATTAGACTGGGCCTCCTTCTGGATGACCCTCTGGATGAAACCGGGGTTGCGAGGGAAGTCTGGGTCCCAGGTGCCTGCCGGCGGCTGGAGGGAAGCCCAGGTCCCGGATGCTGGAGGGAAGCCCAGGTCCCAGGTACCAGAGGAAAGCTGGTGCCAGTAGCAGGGGGAAGGAAGGCCTACTCTTGCATGAATTTCATGCATCAGGCCTCTAGTATATAGGATATAAAAGGCTAAGTTGACTTGCGCATGTGCGATACATATAAAGCTCTCACTGGCACCAATCGCACATGTGTGCTTTGATCTTTCACTGTCGATTGTGAATTTGGTTGACACTTCTATTATAGAGAAAGGGCGAATAGCGATATTAAAATACTTCTTCTAATTAATTTCCTTTCAATATGCACGAATCTGTGCACTGGGCCACTAGTTAGGATATAAAATTGCATTGAAAGAAAGCTTGGCATTATTGAAGAAAACTGCATATATATACATACCATAACACCCAGCACTTCCAGGAATATACACTAAAGAAATGCTTGCCTATAGGCCCCAGGACAATGGAAAATAAATTGGAATACTAAAACAGTAATGTAAATGAACAAGTGACAATTACAGAGAACATCATGGAAAGTGTCATGATCATAAAGTTAATAAAGGAATCATGGCATAAAAATTCTCACATCATGATTCTGCTCTTGTAAAATTAAAATACAGATAAAACCAAACTCCATTGTTTAATAATGTGCATTATGTAGTAGCAATATAAAGAAAAGCAAGAAAATGATTAACATAGGTAAAGATGGTGGTTATCTCTCTGGGAGAAGTACACAATAGAGGGCTGATGGTATTCTACTTCTTGACTTGGATTGGACTGTTTGTATAAATAATTGTCAAAGAGTACATGTATAGTTTATGCATTTTTCTATATGCATGTTATATGTTGCAAAGTAAAACACACATGCATCCGAGACCACTGTCCATGGCATGTGACGATATAATGCCTAATATGCTAACGTGGGTCTGGCTGTTTGCAGCTATGAGCAAAGTGTGTGCTGGATTCCAAGAGCCACTAACTTCATGCAACATCATTGATTGACTGTGTTCTAGGATTTGGTTGTTATCACACAAAAAACCCTTCAAGAAAATATCCTGTTTGATTAAACTAACTTTATTCATTCTTATAACTAGCCACTTAATCTTACTGCAGCTTGGTTTAAAGATAAAAACCATTTGATGTTAATACAACTAACATGAGGATAGGTGAGGTGCCTGAGAATTTGTCTGGGCTCCTTTATTTTCATTCCAGCCGTGCTCTCTTTTTAAATGACCTGCAAATTTATTTTTTGTCAGCCTCCTTTCACCTCAAGTGACACAGCCTGTGTTCCATAGATAACAAAGGAGAAATATATTCAATGTTTTTTTAATAATCATCTCCAAACACATGAGCAAAGCAATATCTGAAAGATGTTTTCATCTCACTAATTAGGTTAGACATCTCAGGAGAACAGTCCTATTTGCTATATTTTTAATGGAAATGTTTCTGTTTTGGTTGAGAATCTTGCAAGAACAGATTTCTCCTTTTATACTTCCTGTTGGAACTTCCATGTAGAAAAAGAAAAGCAACATTTTCTCTCTGATAAGTTGGAGAGCATGGATTGTGAGTGACTTACGTAGAAAGACCATGACTCTTAAATTTTAAGGTGCATATTATGTCACACGGAGTTGTGTAGAGTGCCAGGAAATACATACTTAGTGGTGGTAATTGACATGCCACCCCCCACCCAAGAATTTTGCTATTTAAGTGCAGCATTCATAAAGTTCTTAGGTTTTAGTATAGGCCACTCAGATGGTAGAACACAGAACACTTCTGTCTTTATTTGAAACATTTTTCTTTCTATGGGTTATGATTGTAAATGTGTCGGTTATCAGCTCTGACTCCTGGCGAATAAGTGGTGTCCACAATGTCCTGTCCTCGACAGCCCTGCTCAGCTCCTGTAGACTCAGGCCTGTGGCTTCTTTTATGGAGTCTCATATTTGGTTTTCCTCTTTTCTTGCTGCCTTCTCTTTTCCCTAGCAGTATTGTCTTTTCCAAAGGAACCTGCCTTCTTATGATGTCCCCTAAGTAGGACAACTTCAGTTTTGTCATTTTTGCCTCCATGTTTCAAGCTTAATTTGCTCTAGGACCCACTTGTTTGTTTTTCCTGTGTCTAGGGCAGTGGTTGGCAAACTGTGGCTCGGCAAACCGTGGCTTGCAAGCCACATGCGGCTCTTTGGCCCCTTGAGTGTGGCTCTTCCACAAAATACTGACTTCTGCGCATGGGCCACGAAGTTTCAAGCGCACTGTATGTGCACGCCTGCACGTGGTATTTTGTGGAAGAGCCACACTCAAGGGGCCAAAGAGCCACATGTGGCTCGTGAGCCGCGGTTTGCTGACCACGGGTCTAGGGTACCCATAGACTCTTCTCTAACACTGTATTTCAAGAGAGTCAATATTTTTTTCTGTCAATTTTCTTCTCTGTTCTACTATTCATAGTAATTGGAAATACAAGGGTGTGGATGACCTTAGCCTTGGTATCTAATGACACATCTTTGCTATTGAAGATCTGTCCTAATTTTTCTATTGCTGCCCTTCTTATTCTCAGCCTTCTCTTGATTTCCCGGCTGCAGTGCCCATTTGAGTTGATAACTGAACCAAGGTAAGTAACATTTCAACACTTTTAATATATTCATCGTATATGTTAAAGTCAGGTATTTCTTTTGTAGTCATGATTTTTGTCTTTTTGATGTTCAAATCCAGCCCTGCGTTGAAGGTGAATACTTAGTACTAATTGTTCTTCCATTTTCTCATTGCCGTATATTTGTCAGTCTTGTTTTCTCCACTGATAGTGAGCTCTTTGAAGGTATTGGGGTAAAATGCAATGCCAAAGAAGCATTGAGAATTAAATAATATCATATGTGACAAGTGAAAAAAACAGAGAAGCAAAAGGCAATCTTATATAATAAAAGCCTAATTGCTAAGTGTCGGGTCATCTGGTCATCCATTCAACCAATCAAAGCATAATATGCTAATGATTTGGTAAGGGCGCTCAACCACTCGCTACAACGTGCACTGACCACTAGGGGGAAGATGCTCTGACCAGTAGGTTAGCTTGCTGCTAGGGTCCGGCTGATCAGGACTGGGCAAGACAGGCCAGACATGCCCTGAAGCCCTCCCGCAGTCCCTCCCCGGCTGGCCAACCTCCCGCTTCCCTCCCTGGCCCCGATCGTGCACCAGTGGGGTCCCTAGTTCTGGCCTGCACCCTCTTGCAATCCGGGATCCCTCAGTGGATGTCAGAGAGCCAGTTCCAGCCCAATCCCGCAGGCCAGGCTGAGGGACCCCACTGGTGCACTAATCTGTGCACTGGGCCTCTAGTTAAAACATAAAATAATTATAATTATTGGGTTCTTTCTCCTATTGTCTGGCACATTTGCATCCTCTTAACATCTGTTGTAGGTTCTAGTCAAGAAATTAAAGTATTTGTTAAAGTAAATAAAAGGGATGACCTCTTTAGAGGTTTCTAAGATTCTAGTATTTATTTTTCAATCTTAAGTTTTATTAAAATACTCGAATAGAATGCAATGCAGACATGCTATACAGAACATAGACCAAGGATTTCTGATAGGGAGTCCATGGAAGGGATTCAAGGCTCTTATGTCCTTGATGTTTTATGTTAAATTGAGTCTGTGTATCTGTACATTTTCCTGAGTGTTTGGCCTTTCATCTGGGATTCTTGACCTTTCCTCCTCCCAGTTCAAGAATCATGGCTAATAGGTAACTCTCTACATTTATTCTATGTCCTAGAGCCAGCTATATGAGATTCACTGGACAAGTGGATTTGAGAAAGATCCTTCCTACAAAGACTGAAATGACATTTTGCAAAGACAACAGTACCCACTATGCTTTAATTTAGGAATGTTCAGGGGATCCCTTTCCAGAATTCAAGAATCGTGCTGAAAATACCAGAGGCTATTAATACTGCATGTATATTTACTTTCATGACTTGGCAAGGGCGTGAGCTGCAACATGCAATCTTCTCAAAGATGGTACTGTGAAGGTTGGCTAGCAATCAGGCAGATGTCTGAGGTTTGGCAGTAATGCACCCCTCCTCTTCCTCCGCCTCCTCCTCCTCCTCCTCTGAGCTTCAGAATGATCCACATAGTGCACTTGTATTTTCACTCTCTGTAGCTCTAGTCTTTTCTAGTTTTAAAAGCATCTTTATTGGGATACTAGAGGCCTGGTGCACGAAATTCATGCACAAGTAGGGTCCCTAGGCCTGGCCGGCGATCAGGGCTGATTGGGGCCTTCCTTCCCCCCGCTGCCGGTTGCTGGCCAGAGCCTTCCTTCCAGGCCGGGGCCTTCCTGCATTCCATGATGCCCCCTGGTGGTCAGCGCACGTCACAGCAAGCGGTTGAACACCCAGTTGGTCAAACTCCTGAGGGGACAATTTGCATGTTAGCCTTCTATTATATAGGATAATAGATACATTATAAAATTCACCTTTTTAAAGTGTACAATTTAGTGTTTTTTAGTACATTTACTGAGTTGTGCAACCATGACCACTATCTAATTTTAAAACTTATTTTAAGACTCTTTTCTAATGTTTTCTTCTAATAGCTCTGGAACAACACTGTTTAATTTATCTATACTAATAAACGGGTAATGTGCTAATTAGACCGGATAGACTGGACATCTTCCGGACGTCTTTCCAGACAAATCCACGGTTGCGGGGGCTGAGGCAGAGGTGGTTAGGGGTGATCAGGCAGGCAGGCAGAGCAGTTAGGGGTGATCAGGCAGGCAGGCAGGTGAGCGGTTAGGAGCTAGTGGTCCCGGATTGCGAGAGGGATGTCCAACTGCTGGTTTCGGACATTCCCCAAGGGGTCCCGGATTGGAAAGGGTGCAGGCCGGGCTGAGGAACCCCCTCTCAACCCCCTGTGCAGGAATTTCATGCACCGGGCCTCTAATTTTTTAATAAGAAGTTTTATACTCTAAAATAATTCCTATAGATAATGGGCAGTCACAAGTCTTCATAACATATACTGGCTCTATATCTTCAAATGCCAGGATTAACTCTTTGTGACTCAGTGTTTACAAAGATAGTGCTAGTCCGTGTTTTAAATGTGGATAATGTCTGCTAGACAAAATAATGATAATAATAATAATAATTAGGTCAGACCATTTGAATTTGACATTTTTCTAGGCCAAAACCAGTGAATCTCTATACCAGGGGTCCTCAAACTTTTTAAACAGGGGGACAGTTCACTGTCCCTCAGACCGTTGGAGGGCCGGACTATAGTTTAAAAAAAAAAACTATGAACAAATTCCTATGCACACTGCACGTATCTTATTTTGAAGTAAAAAAACAAAACGGGAACAAATACAATATTTGTATTTGCATGTGGCCTGCGGGCCGTAGTTTGAGGACCCCTGCTTTATACTTTCATAAGGTTCAACATAATAAAGATTGCATGAATATTCATTCCCACTCCCTTTGCCTTGCAAAACTTTGAAAGAAGATACTATGTTTTAGGGTCATTAAAAATAAAACAACTTGTTTCTGCTTGAAACACACAGCTAAATTTTGTGGATTTTTTGTGATTATGTACAAATTAAAATATTCTCATTCACAATCTTTATTCATTCATTCAATCTCAAATATCTACTAAGTACCTCCTATCTGCCAAGATAGATGGTAGGAAGAAAGATATAGTCTCAGCCTTAAGGGACACATTTTTGCTGTACTTCCTTCTGGCATTCTATATTAATTTATTGCTTTATAGCCTTGTGATGTGTTTGCATTGTCATCTTTAGCAAATATATTAACCAATTAGTTCTTGGCCTCTGTTGCTGCATAGGTAAGCCCATCCCTCCTTTCCTTCACGCATATAAATTTCATTACACAGATGACTTTTTTCCTCTCTAGTTCCCACATTCACAAAGTAGACAATCTCCTCTCAATGTTTCTAGATTGTTAAGAGGTGTCGTTTTGTGGTTTTCCCAAGTATAATCACTACCTGCCTGAGTCTTGGCTAAATGCCAGTGAGTGTCAATTCTTCAATTTTGGATGTAGATTTAATTAACACACAGTGTCCAGGATTAATATTCAAATTTCATATGTGATAAAAAATCATCAATAATATACAAGACACATATAAGTAATTTGCACATATTTTTAGTATATTGGTAAATTCCCAATACATTTTAAATATTACATTGGCCTTTCAGCTATCCAGGGGATTTTACCTGTTTTGAATTAAGCTGGAGTGTACTCCTGGACTTTTCACTTGGGGTAGAGAACGACATGTATCTTTTAGTAATTTTCTTCCAGTTACTGCTCCTGAGTAGAAAAACAGAATGTTGGAAAATTAGGTTTCTGGGTTTACCCAGAAAGAACATGATACTCAGGAAACAATATGATGCTAACAAGGATAATAGTGTTAAGTTTGTCCAGAACTGATAGAAAACAGAATTGTGACTTTTGGAGAACATGTTATCCCATTTCTTCATTTTACAAACGAGAGAATGGAATCCCCCCCAAATTAAGTGATTAGTTCAAAGTTACTTAATTATTTGTTAAAAATTCAAATCTAATGATTTAGATTCTCAGGACAATGCTCTTTTTACTAATGCTTTTTCCATTTTATATGGGAAAAGATTTACATTCTACTTCTAACATGCACTTCCTTTTAAATCAAAGACCTGTTTTTTTCAATTGTCTTTTCTTGCCCTAACTTAAACTCCATTTAACCTCAACTGGGGTGAACAACCTACAGCAGTGGTCCTCAAACCTGAGCTACTATCAGAATTGCCTGGTGGTTTTTCTAAAACAGATGCTGGGGCTGACCCTGAGTTTCTGATTCAGTAGGTCTGGCATGTGAGTACATGTGCAAAAATTTGTATTTTTCAAGAAGTTTCCAGGTGATGCTGATATTCTTGTTTTGGGACCACACGCTGAGAACCATAAACCTACATGAAGCAGGTTTAACAATTCCTCTATCAACAGGGTTTCCAATGACTGTGGCCCCTGTTGCTTAATCCTTTAACCTCTAGAAGTTTAATACATGATCAAAATACCCACCTTAAGCTCAGTTGCACTCAGTAGTCTCCCAGCATTGACGTTCACATTGAGACCAGTGTGAAAATGACTACTTATCTTCGCAGATGGATTGTTGAGTCAGTCTGGAATAAGAAGGTAGCTGTTTAACACTTCTGATTAGCACTCACAGCTCCCAAGCCCTAGCCTCCAGACTGGTGCCTCCTTCTCTTTCCCTTAACAAAATAATTAATGTTAAAAATTCCAATGATAAGAAGGTAGCCAAAAAATATATTTTTTTATGAAGCTCCTCATATCTTCACTCCTTAAAGAGGCAGATAATTAAATATCACTGTAGCAGTCAGAATTCTTAGTTGCAGAAATAGATGGAGATTAGCCAGTGTAAAGAGAAAGAGATTGAATATAAGGTATCAGGTAGTTTATAGAATGTGAGTGGTCTTAGAAGAAACTGGGTCCCATGCAGAACCCTCTGCGAAATGTGAGTTCTAACTTTCCAACCTTTATTCTACAAGAAGAAATGCTAGAAGGAGATTTGAAGGGGTGTTGAGAGAACCAGTCTGCAGTATCTGGCACTATTACTGTGACTGAATTGTGGCTTGTTTTTT